CACACCCTCCCTCTATAAATTAAAGGTCAGTTTTACTCCACATTCTAATTGCCATCTTTATTCCCAAATGCTTTGAGCTTTTTAATTTTTTTTGGGGGGGCCAGTCCTTGGCCACGCTCCCTGAGATCTTTTTTGCTCAAAGCTAGTGTTCTATCACTTGAGCCATAGCACTTTTTCTGTGATTAGAGATTAAAAGGGTTTTTTTTGTTTTTGTTTTTTTTTGTCGGTCGTGGGGCTTGAACTCTGGGTCTGGGTGCTGTCCCTCAGCTCTTCAGGTAAAGGCTAGTAGTGCTCTACCACTTGAACCACAGTGCCACTTCCAGCTTTCTGGTGTTTTATTGGAGATAAGGGTCTCATGAACTTTCCTCCCCAGGCTGGCTCTGAACCATGATCCTCAGATCTCAGGCTCCTGAGTAGCTAGGATTGCAGGTGTGAGCCACCAGCACCAGGCCTGAGATAAGAGTTTTGGGACTTTCTTGCCCAGGCTGGCTTCAAACTTCAGTCATCAGATCTCAACCTCCTGAGTGGCTGGGATTACAGTTATGAGCCACCAGTGCCCAGCTTTTCCCTTTTTTTATTAGCACGCATTATTTGAACAAAGGGGTATTTCTGTAATATTTCAACATGTGTATATAATGTATTTTGATCAAACTGACCTCCTCTATTACTCATTCTTATTCCTCCTCCCTTGTAAATAATTTTAACAGGTTCCACTGTTCTATTTTCTTTCTTTTTTTTGGGGGGGGGAGGGTCCAGTCGTGGGGCCTGCACTCTGGGCCTGGGCGCTGTCCCTCAGTTCTTCAGCTCAAGGCTAGCACTGTACCACTTGAGCCACAGCGCCACTTCCAGCTTTTTTCTTTTTGCTTATGTGATGCTGAGGAATCAAACCCAGGGCCTCGTGCATGCAAGGTAAGCGCTCTACCACTGAGCCACCTTCCCAGCCCCATCCACTGTTCAATTTTCATACATGCATATAAAGCACTTTTTGCTCATATTTACCTTGCCTTCTATGTAAACACAGAAAAGAAGAACTACAAGGGTACAAATGCCATTCTACTGAGATTCTAGTTGCAAATGAGCAACCTTTGTAAAGACAACTAAAACAATACCAAGTCACTTTGTGTCCTGGAGACCCATGAACTTCCAATTTGGGGAGCAATGAGCTTAAGACAGATCTTTTTCCCTGTAAAAATGCATTTAAAGAGTAGCAATAATATGCCTGTAATCCTCGCTACTAAGGAGGCTGAGTTCTGAGAATCACGGTTCAAAGCCAGCCTGGGCAGGAAAATCTGTGAAACTCTTATCTCCAATAAACTACCAGAAAGCTGGAAGTGGCACTGTGGCTCCAATGGTAGAGCACTAGCCTTGAGCTGAAGAGCTGAGGGATAGTACCCAGGCCCAGAGTTCAAGCCCCATGACCAACAAGAAAAAAGTAGCAATAGGCAAAATTTTCCCTATATTTATTTGTTCAAGGGCTGCATCTTTATTTTCTGAATTGGAAAATCTAAAGTTATAAAGTATTTTAAATCAGTGCAAGGAAACCATATATCTTCTATTTAATAAAACAGCGAGACATCTCCACTGTGGTAAGAGTTTTCTTCACAAGAACAAGCTGAATTCCACAAAATTTCTCTCTGTATTACTAAACTATATTCCTATATTTTTATCAACTACTGGCTGAAATGCTAGAAACCTGTTAATCATACAAAATGTTAAAATATATGAATTAGATATAAATAAAATCAATACTTTTACCTCTTCCCCGCTTTCACTTTTGACAACTTGCTGAGCTTTCATGACCTTGGTTGATGCTATTGCTGATGCCAAAGCCTGGGCCAGGATGAAAAATAACAATTTTGAATATTGACTTGTTTTCTAGAAACTCAAAAGCATATTCAGCCAATGAAAATACTAACCTCTGCTTTCAAATCTGAACGGATTCGCACCACACATCTTTGAACAGCCATTTGAAAAGTAAAGCTGATGACACCTTTAATTTTTAACAAAGCCTCTTCACAAAGATTTCGCCGAGACTGAAAAAGTAAAAGCAAAGAATAGGCAAAATAGTAAGTCAATAAACCAAAGTGAACTAGTTATTATAACTATGTGTCATTTAAGGATATGTTTTGCGAATGCATTTTCTGTTAACTTCGTTTTCCTAAGAACATTATTAGGCATATTGACACAAATCTTGATAGTAGAGCCCATTACATACACACTCATATAACATAAGCTACAAACCCTTAACAGCATATTACTATACTCATTATTGCAAGCAACTGTAACACAATGATAAATACTGGTATATTTAAATCTATCTATCACAGAAGAGGTACAGTGCAAATACTCGGCAATCCAAAAATTTTAACTCCACTATAATCTTATGGGACCAACCTTTCAGGACCACAAATGCCATCCATTGTGAACTTAAATATGGAACACTTTTACATGTACACAACGATATCTTTTTTAAAAAGCAAATGTGCCTATTTCCATTTTTTCCACATTGGTGTACAGTTTCATGTGGAAGGCTACCCCTCACACTTAATTGAACTTTAAACCAGGAACCTAAGCATTTAAATGCTACAAGTAGAAAAGATAACTTAGTGTAACATACCTGGTACAGCTAAACAGGTGAATGGCAACGCACCAGTTCAAACTGTTACCACTAAATATGTAAAATTATATAACTTATCTCAAGACAAACTTCTGGGGGATTTTTGCTTCTAGTCAAGATAGGGTAATAGACCAGATTTACCCTGCAGGATCAACAACTGAAAACAGACAAAACCATGGCTGGATGTCTGTGGCTCACCCTTGTAATCCTAGCTACTCGGGAGGATTGTGATTCAAAGCCAGCCCCAGCAGGAAGTCCTTCAGACTCATATCTCCAATTAGGGAATGGTACTATGGCTCAAGGTGACAGAACTAGCCTTGACGACAAAAGCACTAGGGACAGCACTAGGCCCTGAGTTCAAGTCCCAGGACCAGTATCCAAAAAAAGACAAAGCATAATTTAAACCACAATGAACTCTAGGTATTAGAAAACAAGTATCCCTGAAAAAAGGAAAAAAATAAAGTGATCTTCGTAGCATAGCAATTTATTGCCCAGAAACTTTCCAGGCCAGCTGGGCTCAGGTGCCTCAGTCCTATAATACTTGATACTTGAAAAGCTGAGATTGGAACCAGTTGTTTAAGGATACAGGTGGACCTGTTGCAACAATGAGAAGTACAAGTTGTCATGTCCAAAATGAGCTTTACAATGTCGGTG